TAATCAAAAGTTTTATATATTTTATTTTATTAGGGACATTTACTCTTGTCTAAAGAACTACAATATGTATATAATGAATGTGGATAAATACATATTTAAATCATAAGAAAATAATTCACTTTTATTATAGAAACAAACAAAAAGGAATAAAAAAGCAAAACGGAAAATCGGCGGTACTCTGTTCTCAACTGAATTCAGCATACATGAACAATTAGGACCAGAAATAAATTGTCTACTTTCACTAATTATTCAATTAGTTAATTGACTTGATTTTCAGCATTAAATAAACAAATCTTTCTGTGTTGTTTGACCACAGTTATTAGTTTGGGGACTTGCAGCCCCAATTCTCCTTACCCACAGCACGCCTGAAGAGCTCATTCATTGCTCTACCTAAAGACGAGAACTGAGACTGTTCTAGCTCCTTGAGTGTGAAAGAAAGATGGATGGAGGATGATCAGAAAGAGGGGGAGACTGAATGCTTCCTTTAATACGTACATAGTGCCTAGTATAACATATGTAGGCATTCAAATGTTTGTAGAAGACACAAGGGTAGGATTGCTGTTCAGCACTACCTTGTTTTGTTTTGCTTTTTTGCTTTTAAAGACAAGTTCTAAAAATGATAATAAAATGTCTCTCACGCTCCCTCCTCACTCTTTACTTTACCTAACTCCAGCCCACCTTGCTTTTCTGCCCTCTTTCGCCGGTGCTGCCAGACTCCTCTTGGGCTCCATCCTGCTCTCTTCTGGTATCTGGTTGCTGACTCTTCCTGAGCATGAAATAAGCTATGTCTCTGGGTCTTCCTTTTACTTCTCTCAGCCTGGGATGCCCTTGGCTCCCTATCAGCCCCATCCTTGACCCCCTGACCATTTCTACAAAACATACCCCTGCATGACTGGTCTAAGAAACCATCTCTGACCCTTCATCCCCAGGTATGACAAAGTTGTTCCCTTTCCTAGCATTGACTAGCATACACTGTGAGCCCTCCAAGTCAGGGACTATGACTAATTATCTCTGTAATCCTAGAACTTAGGACAGACCAGGAATAAAATAGATCAGAGTAGATAGATGTTGACTTTTGGATGAAAATGGAAGGATAACAGCTGTATAACCATAGGATATCCTCCATGCAGTTTTTCCTGAATTGGTAATAGGTTTATATTGACTCACTCCACTGTATTGCTGGACTGGTGCCCAGATACCCTGAGTCTCAGCACAAATTCCTTTCCATGCGTCACTGTCCACTTCATCAGGTACTCTGCTAGCAGCTGCCACCCAGCAATCGGCACAAGCCATATACGCTTACTCAGCGGTATAAAATCAGCACAAAGACACGCACAAGGGTTATAGGGCACCGCCTCCTTGTAATACCTATAGCTCAGATGCAGTTACAGGAGATACACAGAAACGAAAGAATAAGAATAGTAAGACAGGGCCTCTCTTGACAGCTCACATAGGCCTCATGAGAGACGAGGAACAAATATTCACTCCGCATCACAGCGACAAACGTCCATGCCCACAGGGTTAATCTCACACCAAGTATGGGCAAAAGTTCTCTCCTCAACCTCTTGTCAGCCATCCTGGCAGACGGTTTTTGCACATCTTTCAGACATTTCTGTTTCCAGGTTTCTAGAAGTCCAGTTTCCCCCCCTGTCTTCAGATGCTGGCCTGAACTCCAGCTGTCATCCAGATGTTAGTGGGGGCCTCTGCCCTCTGGCAAAGTGTTTCTTGAGTCCTTCTCAAGAAATGGTATGTATTGTTAGTATCTGGAAATGAGGTGCGCCTGGCTAATGAGACTAAATTTTATCCACTAGCAGGAAAGAGCACAAGCAGGGGAGAAAGCCGATCATATCCGATTATTAGAAAATCACCCCAGGATAGTGGTAGTGTGGAGAGTGTGCTGTAGCAGGGGAGGCTAAAGGCATGACAATAATGAAGGAGGCTGCAGAGGCAAGGGACACAAATGATGAGTTTGGGCAGCAGTAAATGGGAAGGAAAGAAAGAAGATCAACCTCAGAGGTATTTGGGAAGAGCATTCAACAGGGCATGGTGACCGATTCGTGCGGGATAGGGTAGGGTGGTGAGAGAGGTCAGGAGACACCTCCCAGATTTCTGAAGTAAGAGCAGCAAACAGGAGGGCAAAATGATGAGATCAGCTTTGGTCATGCTGAGGGATCTCCCAGCGGACAGGTCAATTGGTCTGTGGGTCTGGAGTTCAGTAGAAATACTTAGAGGAGCTATAAGGACTGGGAGTTCATATGCAGTAGAAACCCAAGTCATGGCGGGTGTATGTAACAGAGAGCAAACCAGCAAGGGGAGAGAATCTCAGGGAACACCAGCACGTAAGGGATGCTGAGAGAATGAATATCATCACAGTAGAGAGGAAACAGAAGTGGGATACCGAAGAGGGCGTGCTCCCTCCTTGACCCGGAACCTTCAAGGAGGGAGTGCAAAAGGCAGCAGCGAGACCAGGTGAGATAGAGATGATTTGGCAATGGGGGGGCGGGGTGACAGTTTTAGGGACATGGAAATGAGACTTCCACGAACTAAGGAGTAAATAAGAAGTAGAGATAAATATAATCTACTCTTTGAGAAACTGGGCTTTGAAGGAATTAAAAAATACCGGGAAATAGTCAAAAGGGAAGTGAAGGCAGTGAGGGAGTCGTTGGAGTTAAATATGAAGAAGACACAGGTATATTTATATACTGAAAAGAAGTGGCTGTTGAAGGAGATGTTCATCTTCCGGAATTTTTCTCAGATCCCATCTCATTTCACCTACTCTATCCCCCCCCCCCCCCCTCTATTTTCAGTGGCTCTTCACCCCTCAACCCCCAGGCCCACCGCAGAGGCCTCACCTTTGCTGACCCACCTGAGGCCTGACCCTCCCCCTGACACAATCTGAGCAGTCTACCCCTAGCCTTATATCCCACCATTTCAGTAAGAGGTGCTGCTGCTACTGCTTCATCAAGCTGGGAGCAGTTGGAGACCTCTGGAAACCTCCTGATACCTGGCCTGCTGACATTCCTCTTGCCAGGAGCCACCATATGTCTGCAGTTGAACAACACCCTGTGAGGCACACGCTCTACACAGGCCCAGCTGAGTATCCTCTGTAGCTGGTGGAGGTGAACATAACCCCACACGCCCACTGGTTCACAAACACACCAGGCTGATGCTCTTCCTGCGCCTCTACTGCACCCAGTCGAAGAAAGGTAGATTCTTCCAGATTGCCTAGCTCTCAGTCCCTAGAGGAATCCGGATGAGTCACCAGAAGCTCCCTGCCAAAGCCAGAGGAGAGTAAAGCCAGCCTGCACATAAGCGGACAGGTGGGACACAGTGTCCAAAGCAGTCCGTCTCTGGAAACACATCCAGGCAAACACACCACCAGACAAACGCACCACCTTGAACTTCATCTTCAGTTTTCAGGTCTCACTTGGGGCAGAAACTCTAAAGATGAGCTATAGAAAGGTGTGAATGTCAGAGAACAATTAGGGGTGTGAATGGGACAGTTTCTTTTCCTATTCCAGATAATAATAAGCACAGGGTCATCTGATGTCAGTCCATGAATCAAATTGCCCAAGTCACAGCTATGCCCGAGGGAACAGGCACAGCAAATACGTTCCCCCTCATGGGGCAGTCTCATGGACTGGGCAAGGGGGAGGGGCTGGGAGACAGGCGCTGTCTCCACTGCTCATGCTTCCGCTTGATCATCGTGCCCCCTGAATGGAGAAACACAGACCCTCTGTCACCTGGAGGATCCATCTGCCTCATTTGCCCTTTCCCTCAGCATCCCCAGGATCTAGGACAGCTATAGAATCTTCTACAAGGTATTTTCATATAGGAGGGCAATATCACGCCTGATACTGCATCATGTGTAAGTAGTGGTACCACAGCTCACACATTTCTGCAGAGCACAGGAATATATTCTCCAGACCCCAAACCAAGACACACATACAAACACACACAGCCATCCTCTTGTGGTGAGTTTCTACAGCTCCTCCTTCCCAGGAAATAAATTTAGGCAACACTGGGACTCATAGATTCTAATCAACTGACAGAGCACAGAGGTTACATATTTATTTGTGTATCTATACCCCACCCCACCTGTCCCTGCCCCCAGGAGGCTTCAGGCTGTGCCTTTAAACCTGTACCCACCTCTTATTTTATGAGACAAAATACATTGAAGTGGGAATTTCAAGTTCTAGACCAGTGTTATTCAATAGAAATTTCTGTGAATATGTTCTATATCTGCACAGTACAATATGGTTACCAGTAGCCACTACTAGATATATGGCTTGATATATGATACCTGATATATGGCTGGTACCATTGAGGAACAGAATTTTTCATTTTATTTTAATTACTTTAAATTTAGCCACACATGGCTCATGGCTAACATATTGGACAGTGCAGCTCTAAATAATTCCAGACAAACAGATTTTAACACCAGAGTAAAAAAATGAAGGTTTTCAGAATGGTGGGAGCTGGCTCTCAAGGAGAGGGACGGGTCAGGACGCACTGAGTATTGATTGAAGCTGCTTTGGGTGGGCCACTGCCCGTCCCAAGAGGAACCATGGTAGGATGCTCAGAAGCAGCTGAAGATGAGCTTGAGAATCAGGCAGGGACAAGACGGGTCCTAATGGGGTCCTAATGGGGTCGTAGTGGGGTATGGGATATGGAAATGAAGCAAAAGGAGGTGTAGAGATGGAGGTGGAGGAGGTGCAGGGAAGAGATACCTCCCTGTGAGATAACTATTAACACCAGGCCTGGAGAGTTCTAACTCCACCTTAGTCCCTTCTCCCCGTGCCCCCACCACTGTAAATTTTAATGGAAGGATCATTAAATATCTCCTAGAGCAACTCACATTCTGCAGAGTAATAAACTGAGGTCCAAAGAGGTGACTGGGCTGTCCAGCGTTATATATTGAATCTGTAGCAGAATCAGGACCACAACCGCATCGCCACTCACACCCCCACGCACCCTCCTCCCACCCTCAACCAGCTCCACTACAGGAAGGTCGGGCTTCGGAAGGAGAACTGCAGGTAGACAATGAGCAGGTACAGTGAGGCCCAGAAGAGGCCCCAGCGAAGGGAGAAGAAGTTGTAGCCCGATGCCTCCTGGGCCCGTGGCTTGGAGGCACCGGAGAAGGTCACGTCCTCCTCCAGCAGCTTCGCTGGGCTTCCAGTGCACGATGCCCTCCTGGCAGGCCTCGCAGAACTCTCCGCGGTGCCGCCGGTTGTCTTGGCGGCTGGCCATGTGGATGCGGTACTGGCCGCCGCTCTCCCCGTAGCGCTGCTCGCGCAGGCTGGTGATGAGGTTGTCCACCAGGCTCTCGATGTTCTCCTCCAGCATGCTCGACTCGTCCGGCCGCGCCGTGCCGCACTCGTAGCACAGCTGCTTGAAGACGCGCATGCGCACCGAGCGCGCCCTCTGCGCGCGGTCCAGGTACATGTGGAAGAGGATGACCACGTGGGGCGACTGCCAGGTGTGCCAGCACCAGGAGCAGTGGAACCTGCGGCGGAGGGAGGCAGGGATGGAGAAGGTGGGCCTCCCTCCCAGCCACAGCCGGCCTGGAGGAGCCTGGAAAGGAGGAGCCCTGTGTGCCTATACCTGGAAGTTGAGGCGGAGTGTTTACCACCCCGGGGGTACATTAGTGCCTGAGCCAGCGTCTCAGCCTCCTCCTGGTGAGCTGCCCTCGGCCTGGAGCAGCATCCTCAGGAGCCAGATGCTGGAGCCATCTGGCTTCCAGCAGTGCTCTCCGCCTGCCTCCTGCGGGCCCTCCCGTGGCCCTGGTCCCCCCAAGCCTAATGAACTCAGGACATGGGTCTGGACGCTGCGGACTCACTCCCCCCAATCTGGGCCTTATTTCTCATCTGTGAAATGCAGGATAATTGTGTCCAATAAGCATCCTTCTGCTCAGACCTCCCATGACTCTGATAAGGGGGATGACCACACGTCTCACTCAAGCATCCTGTCTGTTCTGGGGCAAAGAGATGCCTCTAGCTGTCCCAAGCACAGATCACCAAGAATCCACCGGATGGCCAGGTGGATGGGTGGTGCACCAGCAGGGGGAGGACTACAGAGTTTGGTCCCTGCACCTTCACAAAGAACACTCTCCTGTCCCTTGACAAATCATCCCTAGATCCCACTGCAGGCCCACAGAAGAGACTGGAAAGGTGTATCCTGGTCTGCATCCCCCTCCACACACATACACACATGTACACTTACGTACACACAGGCCACTTTGTCTACCCTGGGCCCCTTCGAGTCCCAGCCTCAGGAAACATGGAGGGAAGCGGCCTGGGACGCATACGGCCTAGGCTTCATCTCAGCCCCTACCCAGTGCTGGCACCCCTTCAGTGGCAGAGAACTCATGACGTCCAGTGGCAGTTCCTTCCGACCCTGAGATAAAGCTCTTCCAGGCCCCTGTTACCAAGGCTTTACAGGCTGTCCAGAGTCCACTGGGTTGAGTCTGCCCTCACCGCTAACCCTCTATGGGATCCCTGTTGACGGCCCTGAAGGACCTCTGATGAGGAACTCAGTTCATTCCAACAGACACCACCCAGCACCTACCGTATGCCAAGCACCACGCAGCGCAGCGGGGTGGAGATGAAGCCAAGCCTGGCCCTGAGCCCTGGGGCCCACAGACAGCGTAAGCGCAGCACAGTACCCAGTGCAGCCCAAGGCAGGATTGGCAGGCCAGAGCATCCTGACTGGTCCTGAGCCAGAAGGGGCATGTCCCCCTCCATCCTGCCTCCCTGTGCTAGGCCAGAGCTGCAGGGCACCAGGGTTACAATGCTTACAGGTAGGGTGAGCCTCTGCACAGAATATGCACAAGGGTGACGCCTCTCCAGCCCTGCCTGAGGCCAGCTGGGAGCCACAGATCACCAGCCAGGAATAGGACCAGCTGATCCCTGAGGTGAGAGGAGCCACGAGCCTATGGAGCTCAGCCCCAAACCCCTGGACCCCTGCACCTGAGTTTCCAACCCTTTGCACCCCTCCCACCAGCCAGCCCGGAGCTTCACATCTTCAGTCCCCTCCTTCTGCACCTCTTTAAATCAAGCCAATCCAGAGATGTTTCCCCTCCCTCAAGCCACACCTCAGATCTTAAATCTCAAAGCATCAGACCTAGTAGGAGGGGACCTTAGGATATCTAGTCAAACTTTTATTTCATTGAGAGAAAGAGAGCCGTCTGCACACACAGCTAGTCAGAGACAGAGCCGAGACCCAGCCTGTAACAGGTGCCCAAAAGATGTCTCTTGAATAGATTTGAATTGAAATGAACCAACCAACCTCTGCCTCTCTGACTGTTGTCCCAAAGGCAAGTTCACTCTAATATTTGCAGCTCTTGGGGCAGGAGTACAGGTGTAAGCTCCTCACCCACGGCCTGCCTCCTTCTGTTCCCACCGCCAGCCCAAGGAGCTTAGCATGCAAGCATGTGTGAACAGCCCAGTCTGTGTGTCCACACCCCCAGGACACAGCCCCCTGTTGCCCTCCCCAGGGGCCTAGGGCTACTGTCTGTCCTTGATTCAATGGACCCAGGGAAGAGGCCCATACAGTGTGTGCCTTTTTTTTTTTTTTTTTTGCGGTACGCGGGCCTCTCACTGTTGTGGCCTCTCCCATTGCGGAGCACAGGCTCTGTACGCGCAGGCTCAGTGGCCACGGCTCACGGGCCCAGCCGCTCCGCGGCATGTGGGATCTTCCCAGACCGGGGCACGAACCCGCGTCCCCTGCATCGGCAGGCGGACTCTCAACCACTGCGCCACCAGGGAAGCCCCTATTTTTAAAAATCTGATTTCCTCATTGTACGCCTCATCTCTTACCTGAAACCTCCTGACACTGAATTAAGACAGCTCAGGCCCACAAATGGGAAATTAGTCGGCCAAGGAAATTACTGGCCTCAGGACCGGGCTGCTTACTCCTTGATCACTCCCTCTCAGCAGTCAGCTTCCAGCCAGGAGAGATGGGGGTTCCTGTGAGTTCCTGGGAACAGAACCAACTGAGGAGCTTATGGCCCAGTCAGGAGTGAATCTCTGGGAGACATTGTGTCATTGTTCCCACAACAAATGACAATGAAAAAAACCCAAAAAGGTAGAGGATGGAATTGTCAGGGTTTACCTGCTTGCTTTTAGTCAAATGATGCCACCCCCTTAGGCCTAGAATCAGACTTAATTTGAGTGGGAGCCGTCTCAGCAGAGACCAGTATGTCATCTTTCTGTACCACCGCCCTGTTTTCTCTCAAGAAGAAACGCTTGCTATACAATCAGTGAGCACAATTACAGCCTCACTTTTCTACACATGGGTTGCTCCAGGAATCCCAGTGTAAGAGCTCACTAATGTATACATGTGTGTAGCTGTGGCCACATCACACACTGGCAGTTTCACTATGCATTGCTGCCATATTTTTTAATCCAGATAATACTTCAAAACATAAAGGAATTTGTATTCCTTTATAAAATTAAACACTGTGTGCCTGTATTCTGCAAACAAAATTGGCAAAGGGGTGGGGGATGAAAGAACCATTCCCCCTCTCCAATTTGGAAAGTGGGTCAATAAATACCTTTGTAAAATAATCATTATTTTTATGTTACTTCTTAGAATAATAAGGAATGTCAATGGGGAACCTAAAAATAAAAGTAATGAAGAGTGAGGGAGGTGAACAGATATCCCTGGGGGCTTTTGAAAACTCTATGTACCCTTACCCCAGAGATTTCAATACATGGTCTTGAGGGGGATATACCCCCTCCACCCATTCTGGTTCTGGAAAGACACCCTCATTGACAGCCATTGTTACTGATGGGAATATGTTGTCCCACAGGCATCTTGGTGCCAAAAAAGAGAAAGAAAAATGAAGGTTGGGTAAAACTGAGATAGTGGTTCAGGATATTTCTTTACTTAGAAACAAATCCAGGGGAAATGCAAGCTGAGTCCTGTCTTCTCTTTCTCCACAATTCAAGGAACCAAGGAAGGTGCTACAGGGCAAAGCAAAGGTCCCAGGGGGAATCTTCCCAGTAGCGGTTAGGATGGCCTCTCATCCCCAAGATGCAGTGCTCAGGCAGCATGGTCCAAGCTCCACTCTGGGCGAGAGGTGACCTCTGAGTGTCGGGGCATTCACATGGTCAGACCAGCCCACAGCTCTCAAACAGTGTGTGTAGCGAAACACCCTCTGGGGAAGATTTCACGCCTCTCTGTTATCAGTTGGCAGCAGACAGGACAAGAGCAGGCAGGCAAGATTCTATTCCTGCTGGTTTTCAAAAGTCCAAATTCTATGGGCCATGCTTCCTAGGCAGCCCAAAGTCTGTATTAAGGGTGGCCATACCTACTGTCACTTTTTTTCAGGGCCTTTTAACGTTAGGCAGAGATTCGGTGAAGAATTGTCACACTATCTGTGGGAAGAACATAAATAAAAAGAGGGAGGTGGGAGCAGGGGGCGCTCTACACAAGGAAAAAAAAAAGAGGATGGGGTTTGAATAAGTGAGTTAGTGGTTCAGGAGGGAAGACTATAGAATTCTCTGCTGAAAAGAGACAGTCGGACTCAGAAGATCTGGAGATACTTTCAGCAGGTGCAGCCAGTGCTGACTTCTGTCCAATAAGTAGAGGGCCTCCGTCAGAGTCCCCTAACTATACTGAGAACCTGTCAGTTTCTGATGAGCTGAGGCTCAACACACACAAAGAACCATGACTCCGCCCTGGGACAGTCATGGCAGAGCAAAAAGGAAGCTTGGGAAAGCTTATGCTGGCTCTTAAAACTCCCATTCTGAAATGACATTTTTCACTTCTCCTCACATTCCATTGGCCAAATCAAGTCATGTAGCCAAGGCTGCAGTTGGGCAGGGAAATATATTTTGCCAAAGGAGGGAGGGGGGCACCTTAGGGAGTGGTACCAAGCACTTTGGACTCAGTAAAATAAAAATAAAAATAAAATTCATCACAGCATCCACCTGAATGATGGGCACCCTCCTGGAACAATGGAGCTAAACAGATTTTATGGTGCAGTGTAGTGAGAAATCCTGAATTCTAATCTCTAACTTCTCTTAGACCTTCTCTGTGACCTCAGTGAAAGGGACACCTGTAGAGGATGGAGACCACATGTCCTGAGTTCTCCAGAAGGATCTGCATTTCAAGGCCACTGCGATGTTTCCCAGGAGAATACGTACTTAGCAGACCATGGGGAACTGCGGTCAGTATAAGTTGTTGAACCGTACTCCAGACCCTTGAGAATCCAGCCCCAAAGTCCTAGAAAAAGGGCTTTACTAAATTCCCTTGCATAGTTGGACAGAAAGACATATTTGTAAAAATGGTAATTAACAAATTAAAAGCATGCACTTCAGCACCACAGATTCTAACCACCACCAAGACTGTTCCAGAGGCAATCATACCTGACGTTGGCAGCGAGGATGCTACTCTGTCTAGTTCCAGTTCTTGGAGGACAGGATTATAAAGACCAACCTTTCTGCTGACCACAACTAAAAAATGCTGCTTAAAATATTGTTTATAAAAGCATTAATTATATAACAAGATCCTTTTGCACCATTAGGGCAAAATGTACATGAAGGCAGGAACCCAGAAAGACGAGCAGAGCGCTAAAGCTGCTTTTACTCTGAAGACACTTGTCAAATCAGATGAAATAGAGCCGCTGTATTTATCCCTTCAGAGGACCCAGGACAACAGGAGACACAGTCTAGGGTCCACCTAAGGCAGGGAGCATAATAAGAGACCCTCTGCCCAGAGGGCTGGAACCAGGAAGGGCAACACCTCCAGTGTAGCAATGAATGGGAAGCATCAGCCCCAGCCACTCCCAGAAGACTGCAAGGATAATTGCCTTGACCATGAGGAGGAAAACGTATTGTTTAGCTTCAGAATTGGATAAACACTTATAATGATATGGGGATAATTACTAAGCGAATAGGAACAGAATATATCTAAACTTTCATCCTAATAGAGAGAAAATAATATAATTATTAGAAAACATATAATCCAAAAGAAAACAAGAAAGAAGAGAGGGAGAATCAAAATACAGTGAGACATGAATTCCCTGGCAGTCCCAGTGGTTAGGACTCTGCACTTCCACTGCAGGGGACACAGGTTCAACCCCTGGTTGGGGAACTAACATCCCGCATGCCACACAGCGTGGCCCAAAAAAATGTAGGAGAAGAAAAAGAAGAAGGATCTTTAAACAAAATACAGTGAGGCATAGATAACAAAAAATCAGATAATGGCAAATAGATTAGCAAATACATTAAGTATAAAAAAACTGAATGTCCAGTTATAAGGCAAAGATTGTCTGACTGAATTAAAAAACAACATCCAATGACAATCCCAACAGAATATTGTTAGACACTCACCTGACAGGCAAAAATGAAAATGCGTGATCAAGCTAAGGACTGGTGATGTTAACAAGTAACATGAACTGCAATGTGCGGTTGGTGGAAATTTACATAACCCTTTTGGGGAAGTTGTCACTGCCTTGCAAGGCTGAACATTCAAGAACCCTATGATCTGGCCATTATACTCCTGAGTGCATATCCTAGAGAAACGCTTTCACATTTTCACTAGATTACACCTATGATAATGTTCATACATCATGTTTGGAAGGATGCAAATCACATTCCAATGCATTTCATTCCACTTCTCTCTACCCTATTCCATTCCTCTACATTCAATTCTATTCCTCCCCAGTCCGTTTTATTCTTTTCCATTTCCCTTTACAAATGTCCATCAACCAAAGGATGGACACACACACACTGGAACATTATGGAGCAATAAAAATAAGTTACTTCTACTCACATCAACATGATAAAATTTCATCTTACTCCTTTTTCTCCACTTCTATCATGTTGATGTGAGTAGAAGTAATTAATCTGTGATTTAGTGAATTGATATATTAAATGTGTATATGTTAAAATATTTAAATATATGAATAGAAGTATTTATAGTGATTAAAGTAACTATAAGTTTTCTCCGTGGGAAGGGAGAGGGGTGCTTGTGTTAGGGGATTATTACATATTGTGAATGAAAGAGTTTTCAGGGGGCTGGCAAAGTCTTTCTGACCTAGGTGTTTGTTATGTAAGTTTTCAGTGTACAGTTATTCCTTAAATTTTATGTGTACGTCTTAAGTATTCTTCTGTATATAGGATATATTTCACAATTTACAACAAAGTGGATACTGTCCTCTGTCTGGGAGACATCCCCTTTCCCGTTGCTCAGATGGCCCCAAAGTACCAGCATCTAGCAATGACCCTTCTGAATATTTTCGTTAAGGTGGTCATAGATTTTAAAACTGAAAGAGGACTAGAAAAACCATCATCCCCCTACTCTGAGAAAAGCTTGGGCAGGTGAGCAAAGGAAATTCAAATAAGGAAATAATGAGACAGTGCCTGGCAAATAGCAAGCTCTTAGTGAATATTCCAGGTTCTTCTTCCACAGCACCTGCCATACTATCATTGCATTTCCTCCACAAGTCCAATTATTCTTTGTTTTCTCCAATGACTAACAAAACCTTACATAGTAGGTGCTCAGTAAAATGTGTTTAATGAATGAATAGTGGTGAGACTCAACTGTATATAACCTTTAAAATTTAGATTGAATGTAAATTTTACTAACACAGGAACCATAAAAATATGTCTCTACAGATCCCACAGCATATGGAATTGCATATTATAGAAGTACAATAGGTGTTGTGAATTCCATTCACTTCACAGCAACAAAGATTCTTCTAACATCCATGACGTGCTAGGATGGAAACGAAGTGCCACGGGGGACACATAATTACGTGATCTGCCCACATGGGCAGGAAACAGCCCTCAAATGGTGGGATTGAAGGGGCGCTCTAACACCTGTAGCTTCTTGGAATTAGGTTTACGATGCACAGGTCTGGAAGATTATTCTTCCAGGCACTGTAAGCTTAACACAATGCCAGTTATCAGAAAGGGGGAAAGGCCTGAACCTACCGAAAACTACCCTCAAAGAGGATATCTAATTTTTAAATAGAATTTTTATTTCACTCAGACGTATCAGACTTGTCAGCCACTATGTATATAATGGATATAAAATTTCTAGTATTATTATTAAGAACTTTTCTGATGCAGCACTCAGAACTCTGGTTTTAAATTTGGGGCAAACTGCCATTGACCTCAGTGTTATAGGCCAAAGAGAATGCAAGACAGGTGTTCTTTTTCTTAAAGATCTTTACTTCAAATAAATTTTTTTAAATTAATTAATTAATTTATTTTTGGCTGTGTTGGGTCTTCGTTGCTGCGTGCGGGCTTTCTCTAGTTGCGGTGAGCGGGACCTACTCTTCGTTGTGGTGCGTGGGCTTCTTATTGCAGTGGTTTCTCTTGCTGTGGAGCACGGGCTCTAGGCTCCCAGGCTTCAGTTGTTGTGGCTCGCAGGCTCTAGAGCACAGGCTGAGTAGTTGTGGCGCACGGGCTTAGTTGCTCCGAGGCATGTGGGATCTTCCCAGACTAGGGATCAAACCCGGGTTCTCTGCATTGGCAGGCGGATCCTTAACCACTGCGCTATCAGGGAAGTCCAAGACGTGGTTCTTAAAACACCGTTTTTTACATGTATCCAACTCAGCCTCAAGTTCACTAAATTCTTTCTCATCTTTTCTTAATATTAAAGTCTTTACATTTGTCTTTCCTCCTTTGCAACACTACAAGTTTTTCCTCTGAGCACACAGTATATTTGGATAAATATGTGCACCACACATATTTAAAAGAGACTTCCAGAAGGGGTGATGCAAACCCTTGAAGAATGAGCAACTGACAGCTAAACAAAGAAGGGGGA